ATACCAAAAAAAAGATGATATTGTTAATTTCTAGGGAGAATAAAAAAATGCCCTAACTTTTGCGGTACAGACACAACAATAATCTGAGAAATCAAGGTGCTCCAGAGCTCATCTGGTTCTTTATAAAGCACACTTGCACCGGCATGCTTAATCATGCAATTAAATACCTCACTGACTTAAACGTTACTAAGCATGTAGTGGTGCCTCACAATTATACTTAAATATAAAATATTGTTCGAGGCACATCATTTGGCCACAGCAAAAAATGATAGCTTTAAATTTACTTCCTGTGCATAAAAAGAAAGAAAATTATGTGTGCATTGCTGGGGTATTTTTTTTATTTTTTGAAAAGTTGGGATATTTTTTTTATATATGGCAAAACTTAGGGCATTTTTTTTATTCTCTCGTATTTTTATTCAGGTAATGAATTAGATTAAAAGAATGAAAAAAGACATAAAAATACTAAAATGTTTTATAAAATTTTCATTTTTCGAAAAAGATAAATTTATATCTAAAATATCTTTAATTTTTTATCTAAAATTTAATGAAAAATCTGATTAAAACTTTAAATATGCTATTAAAAAATATAATTTAATTAAGAATTTTGTAGAACACCCACACCACCAGTTATCTTAAAATTTAATTAAAAATCTGATTAAAACAATATCGTAAAACCGGCTTATTATGAAATTAAAGATCGACCAGAAGCTAAGGATCGAGACGTGTCGGATGAGTATTGGAAATTTTATTGCGAACGAAATTTAAGTACCTTATCTGAGCTATTCTGCGGGCAATTGCGATCAGAGATTCGCTGCAAAACGTGCAATAATCGAACATTTTGCTTTGATGTGTTTAGGGACTTGTCTGTGCCTGTACCAACGACAGTAGCGAAAATCAGTCACTTGCAAGTATCCGGCTCTTTCTTTTCCGGGATAAGAGCGCCAGCAACGAACGATCCGACCTCGAGTGTTAAAAGTGGGATCACATCAATTCACCATTGTTTAAAAGCTTACACGGAGCAGGAAGTTCTTTGTGACAAAGCAGCGTACTATTGTTCCAAATGCAAGATGCATCGATCTGTGGCCAAAAAGATATCGATTTATCGACTTCCAAATATTCTGGTTATTCATCTTAAGCGTTTTACTTATTCAACCTTCAGTCGAGACAAAGTTAATTCGAGTATCAGCATTCCATTACAAAGTCTCGACATTGCCGAGTATTGCACAGCTGACGCTATTGTCGATGGCAGCACACTTTACGATTTGACTGGGATCGTACATCACACAGGCTCTCTAAATGGTGGCCACTATACTGCCGAGTGTCTTAACGCCGCCACAAAAGAGTGGTTCGGCTTCAACGATGCAATTTTAACAGCCATTCAGAAGCCAGAGCTTTATAGTTCCAGCACTTATATACTATTCAACCAGCGGCGACAACAGCATTCTCTTACCATTAAGAAACATTTCTAGACAGCATAGTATAGAAGCATAGGTTTGAGTATCTGAGAATACAGCTGGGTCACTCTGGCGCACGACTTGCAATTACAACTTCTTCACAAATTGCGACAGCCAGCCACTAAGCAACATTTTGTCAGCGAGACAGGAAGGAGCATGGTGAAAGAGAATATATATTTTTTCATAGAATTTTTCGATGATATTGCTACATGAGCACTGCTTTACAGCCTACACAGCACGTTTAAATACCTTACAACTACATTTTCACGAATGCACCGTTCAGTAGTTTACCCTCCTCATGATCGTAATTGTCTTTAAAGCATCCTTAATTTTCTGCGATAAAATACCTAAGATTTTCACAATTCGTTCATCTTTTAACAAATGCTCCAGAGTCTTTTTTGTTTCAAGTGCAAATATTTACCGATTTAAAAAATTATTCGCTCAAATGCACATTGACGTGCATGATTGGTGTGTCACGCCGATGAGACTTTGGCTTGGGAAAAATAGACTTCTTGGGAATACAATATCAGAAACAAGCTTACACGTTGACGCATAGAAGATCCGAGCCATAGAGATATGGCTTGCATTTGAATTATTGAGTTTTCACGGACTAGCGAGATACCACAAAAAGCTCCTTGCAGACTATGAAAAACTTGTAGAATCATTCAGTGGATTGGTGGAAGAAACAACGATATGAAGTTGAAAGAAAGACGACATTAAACGATCATAGTTATTCAACAAACGTTATCACAAGTTCCAATGTTTCAGTTGCTAAGTTCCGACAAGCCACTTATGGTGACAACAGATGCATCGGGTTATCGTCGTGAAGCTGTTATCCCAAAACTTGACGAAAAAGGCATTGACCGACCGGTAGTTTTTTTTGCCCAAGAAATTGGGTCCGCATGAATGAAACTGGCAGGATCACGAAACGGAATCGTATGCGATCAAGCTCGTGTTGAGCCAATGGAGACACTATCTACGTGGAGCTCAGTTCGATATTTTCACGAATAAGGCTGTTTTTTTTCAAAACGTCGACTCTCACATGTGCTTGATTTATTAAGTCAATTTTACACTGCACCATAGAGCAGACATGTTGAATGTGGTGACAGGTACCTTATCACGGCCGTTAACGTCTCCGGCACATTTCTGCATGATTGCACTAATCACTTCGTGTAATTATACGAACATTGTCAGTGAAATCACGTCAACGTCGCGGCAATGAACAGCTTACCTCAAATCGACATGGGAATGATGTTTGACACTCTTTTTTTTCGGGAGAATATGCATTCAGATACAAAGCTTGATAGGGGAGCTCCTCAACGTCACGTGATTAATTGCATCAAGGTTACGTCGTACAGCACGGTTGAGATAGATGTAACGACGAAAGAAAGGTTTTATTGTGGATACAAGACAGATTTAATGTTTGCAAAGAATCTTAAAAGTAAAGGATGCGAAGACTATTTGTACTAAACGATCCAACTCTAAGAGGTGATACTATCTCGCAAGCGCATGACGTTAGTATTGCAGCATAACCGGGAACAGGAAGAACAGAACTTAGTATCTCTCAGTGATACTACTGAAAGATCATAAACGAGGACGTGAAGCTATACGTGTCGACATGCTGGACGTGCAGTCGATGCAAGATAACCACTTTGAAAGCCAACGATAGAGATACCAATTGCTACGCCAAAAAGATTGATAACAAGGTTACTGTTGTCAAGAAATAAGGATGCAACTTTGACCGTGATCAACAATTTGTCTAAAAGAGCCAAATATTTGTCGACGACAACGGCAGCAGATGCCCACAAAAAGCAAAGACATTCTTTGATTATATGGTCAGACACGATTAAGTGTCGACCATGATCATAAGTATTCAAGACCCGAAATTCACTTCGAAGGTGGGAGAGAGTTGATGAAAATTATAGGAATAGAACAATGCATGACTACCGCGGGCCGACACAGGCAGATGGCGCAACGGACGTCAAAAGAGAACGCTAGAAAACTCACTACATTGCCGCATCTCATTCCTTGGGGAAGATCAGGTACATCATTTAGCAACAATTAAATAATCTCATCGGGGTCTACAGTCGCTTACATGATTTACTGGAGCTCAAATTGCTGCTGGAAAAAAATCAAAGAATCGATTGCTTCTTGATAATTGCCAATGACGTCGCCAAGAATTTTGCAGATCATCGTAAAGAGATTATCAAAATGGCACAAAATAACATCGCGAAGGCCCAAGCAAGATAAAAAAACACATTTTGATAAGAAGAGATCGGATGTGAAGCTCAATCTCGCAGACCTGGTGCTACTAGCAACAAGAAAAATACCATTGAATCATGCACAGCTCGTTCAAGTAACAGAAAGATCCGAGCTTGTGCCGCATTTTATAAACAATTTGAGATCATACAAATTATCCATGACAATACCATGAAGCTCAAACTATTCGAATCGATGGATCGTGTCCAGAATATGTTTTTTATGGATCGACTTAAGCTATATAACCAATATCTGGAGCCATTTAAGCCGAGGCCTATTTCAGTGTAACACCGATCATTCAAGATGAAGAAACTTATGCAGAGCTGTATATCGTTGAGACACTGCTCAAAAAGAGACAAGTAAATCGCAATAAAGAACATTTGGTGAAGTGACAGGCTATCTAGATAAAAAGTTACGTGGGAATGTAAGAGCGTCTTTTCACAAATGTTCAGGATTTTGCTACATGCAAAAACAAAAAAACAGTATTCGTTACATCCTTCCAGCTCCCTTAATTTTGTTTGTTCTTGCTCACTCTTTCGCTCCAAATTCTGAACCAAACGCCTGAAATATTTGCTCTCTACCTCTCAATTGGTTGGAAAATAAGGATGAAAAAAAACAAAATAAAGAGTACGGATCCGTCAGGATCTCTTGGGGTACCAGGATGCGAGCTCGCGGAGCTTTCTGCTGATCAAGCTTAGGTTGTGTAGCGACCGGGGCCCGACTTTGTAGACGCCTAACGATCGAGTAATCGAGTCTTTTGCTTCAATAGTGGAATCCGCCGAGCGGAAGCCGTACTCCACACGAGGGTCTAAGACCGGATGTGGATACGAGCGCAGGAGAGCCGCCTTGTGAGCAGCCTTCAATCCATTGATGCTCCTGTGCCTCGTCGAGGCGATTGGTAGTAATTCCACTTCCCCCGGAAGCCGAGTGATCGGGAAACGGATGTGGTGTTCGCAAGGTTTGAGCTGGGCTCACAACGCGCTGTTGGCGCACTTCATCTTCCTTGTCTTCCCATACTGGAAAAGAAGTAATTGACTCGGAGTCGAATGTCTCTAGCTCCGCAGCGAAGAAAATCGTCGCCCGGGGCGGGCGCGGTTTGTTGCACTCAGTTGCCGAGGCTTAGGGTGTGCTTACCGTGAAGCCGTGGACGTACTGTCAGGAGATTCACCCTGTGCAGAAGAAGAAGATGGGCTTTGCCCGCGGGTACCCCCGCTTACAGCTAGGCTGGGCGTTTTCCGTGTCGTAGACACAGGGCTCATAAAGCGTTTAAAGTTGTTCTTAAAGAACTTGAAGGTATCTCAGACATTTAGTCTCGTATGCGGCGACCGTTAAACGTGAAAATGAGAATATTCATGGATTAAATGGGAGAGATTGCAATAGTCACACGTACCCTTAAAACACTAGACCGTACATAGGTGTGTATTACACAAGTTAGTGCAATCACAGAGTGGTGTGGCTACACCGTAACAAGAAGCCACCACGTGGTAAAATTGCCAGTCGTAATGTAAACTACTATATGAATTAGGTTTTGCAATCAGGAAAACCTAGAATGTTAGATTCTGGCGGCTCTGCCGCAACTAAAACAATGAAATTTAGTTTCAATATCGAACAGAAATCATCGTTTGCCCTGGTGAAGGTTTTCGTACTTGGAGGTAGCAGATTGGGGTCTGCTACTCTCGTACTGGTTCTTGGAAAGAACGTAAGGTCGATGATCTTGGCTAAGCTTCTTGTAAGCAAAGAGCTACAGCAGTTGCGATGTAGAGGATGCGCGCGCATGAGATCCGTCCTGCGTACAACAACCAGCCGCTGCTTCTGGCCTTGTCGAGTTCATTGAAAATGACTCCACTTCCCCAAAAGCGATATTTTGAGAAAAGGACACGGCGTCCTCAAGGTCAGAGCAGAAGTCACGTCGCGGATCTAGGGCCTTTTGTCCTCTTTTTCTTTCCATCCTAGAAAAGGATGATCGATCGCCCGTGGCGGGCATGGTGCGCGGTCGGGGGTAGATATCGCGTCTGTGTTGTTAATCGTGTGGCCCTGTCGCTGACAAAGCGCTACGCGATACTCGGCTATCGAGAGCTTGGTTTGCCGCAGACGTGCAATTGAAGTTGCACCACATGCAGGAGACGATTAAGAACTCTGCTCGCGTGCGCTCTCGCAATCAGCGAGTTTGTGTGTCTTCCGTGTCCTCGACACAGGGCTCATTGAGCAGCAGATCATTCGTGAAAAGGTTCTGGTGGTGTTGTGGTGTCTTAGACACGCGATCCTATTTCGATGCGACAGTTGAATGTGAACTCTATGTTCACGATTTTGATGGTGGAGAATGTAACGGTCTTTCACGTCCCCTGGTATGAAGGGTGTGGTTGGTGCAGGTTACAAAATATATTCCGATCACACAATGATGTGGCTACATTTAAAAAATAAGTCAATGCGTAGCTTGAACAGCCAGTAGAAATACATTCAATTAGGTTTTTCTGTATGGATAGAAATACCTATGAATTACGATATAGGCGGCTTTGCCGCAAATAAAATCGAGAAATGCAGTTTACGTTTACACAGAAGATTTGATATCCCTTGAAGTAAGGTTTTTGTTAATCTTGGAGTAAGTAGATTGCGATCTAAGAATAAAACGACGGCCACGGACCTTAACCAAGCTTTCTCTAAGCGAAAGGGCTGCGACAGCCTCGCTGAAAATTTCGTGCGTCTTGCGACGAGACGTTGGTCACAGTGTATCAAACCTTCAAGTAAATTTTTAGAAATATGATTTACAGATTTGATATCAGACCAAGTATACCTTTGCTGAAATGCCACAAGTCATGGATTGAAGAGAAATGTGGCAGCGCTTTGTGGGCTGCTTTACCAGAGCACAAAGTTCTGATAGTTTGCGGGCTGAAAATGGTGTGCTCGAGATTAATAGCAATGCTATATCCAGTAAGCTCGGAAGGCGGAAGCACCAGTAAGCTGCGATACGAAAAATAGGTATTGCACGTTGTGATCCCAAATGTGTGTTTGAGAAATTTGGAAGTGACCGAGACACCAAGTCGATTACACTCATGAAAGGTACAAAGTTTCTATACCACTGCGGATTTTAGCACTGCTGGAGAATAGGCCGATAAAACACTAGCGGGATGTATTTCTCGCGCTAGTTTCGCTGCTGATGCGAACCATAGGCCAGCGTGCATGGGCATGTAGGAGCTCTTCCTCAACGCTTGAAGGGATTTGAAATCGTCGATGCGGCAAGATGATTTCGGCAAGTCAAACCAACCATTTGAACTTCAGTGTACTCGATCTTAAAAACATATATGCGGGAATCCCCCTATCGTGCATCTTAGTGGCTCAGTGAGCCAGAAAAATACGCGGTTATCGCCGACCGACGCGCTCGTAGCATACCGAGTTGCTCTTTGATAATACGGCAGTGACTCTTCAAGTCACCCCCGCCCACCCCCAACGCCACACAACCTGCGTATGAGGTGCGCGCTGCGCTCAACTACCTCCTGGTACAAGCCTCTGACCCCGCGCAAGTTTTCCTCAGGGGGCACTTCGCCGTAGAACTCACGACAACTTTCGGCTCTTCACCAGCGAGAAGGACCTAGCTTACTGAGAGCATGCGCAACGGCTATGCTGTTTCTTCAGACGCAGTGGCTGCTCACGGAGTTGTGTAATGAGGTACGTTAGCTGCTACATGTAGGTACATCTAAAGGTACATAGATGTAACTTCTGTATGCATGTGAGAATTTATAAGAAAAATACTTTCAAAATTTATAGGAAAAAATTCAACATTGCGTTCCCGCATGGTATTAATAGTAAATTTTACAGTAGCCCTCGGGATGATTCGCACACCCCTCAAGGTGCCCTTAATATATTCAAATTAGCTGCAACTTTTCCTTAAGCTGTTTAGCCGTTCTTCTTTTCTACAAGTCGAGACTTTTCTTCTCCCTCCACGCCAAAAATGCTTCGTCGCCGCATAAGTGTTTGTTGTGCTCGAATGACTATTGTGTCTTACAATTCTGGCCGAGTATAGTTGAAAATTTGAGCACTAGAATGATCCATATCGTAATGCTCTAATCTGGTGTTTCTTTTTAAATCAGGTGTAGATTGACTATAAGTGCTACAAAGTGCATCGGGGCTGCCGTAGCAAAACGCTTGAGGAAGCGTACCCTAGAGTACCGACCTTTCGTTCTCTACAAGAACCAAGTATAAGTAAGCGGATCGCAATCCGCTTACTCCAAGAGTATTTATTGTATTCCCAAGGCTAATTGACTCCTCTGTTTGAATTCCAAACTAATTTTTATTTATTTATTATCCTGATTTTCAAAGTATAGATTTTCCTAAATATACTAATAACATAAAATAAAATATAAATATTTGCATAACTACTGGCTACCTATCCACATAACTTGTTCTTGTTTGGATGCCGGCACACCATGCACATCTCGTGTAACACACATCCCTGTTCCAGGGTACGTTCAACCCCGTTACATTATCAATGTTTCCAACCGCGCCAAAGAGAAACTTTAATTTTGTGCATTCGTATCGAGACATGTTATTCTATTGTATCAAAGAGCCGTTTAGACTGATCCTATGTGAGGATGGAGAAACTTTCCACTTTGCCCCAGGGCATGCAGAACGGGCTTAACAAGCTGATGTCTTTGCATATCTTTGAGGACGTGCAACACCTTATAGCACAAGGCCCCGAGGCAATCGGTGCGCGTCTAGAGGCGTTTTTGAGTAATGTAAACGCGCTGTTAAAGCACCCGCAGAAGAAGATGTCTGCATCGCTTGCGTCTATGACGCCACCGTTGGTGATATATGACTTCCCCCAACCTAAGCAGCTCATGGTGAGCGTTAAGGTCTTTAAGGGGTAGGATGGAGAAAATTTTCTGCTCTGGGTGAGAGAGGTCGAGATGAACATCTCATCCGCCATGCTCTAAATCGAGCAACTACGCGTGGCGCTAGCCATCATCAAGCTCGGAGGTCGAGCGCGAGATTGAGCACTGACGTGTAGCACTTGATCGAAGCTGCGTTTCCCTCCTGGGCGGAGCTGAATTTGCGGCTCTCCCGAGTGTTCTCGCCGCCTAATCAGACGTATCACGTGCGATCGCGTTTCCTTGCCCCCGACAGGGCAACAAGCGGTGAACTTTGTCCAAGAGGTGCGAACTCTCATTTCCGGGTTGGCAGCAGATCCCCTCCCGAATGCGGTAACCGTGACCGTGTTTATGGAAGGCCTCCGCACTGGCGTGGCCAGAATGGAAGTCTTCCGTGTGCATCCGTCTATATTTGAAGAGGCGGTGAATGTGGCGCTGAATGCCGAATTGAATTTCAGGTCGGCACAACTTGGTTGATATGCCCGCTCCAACAGCTCGTCGAGCGGCTTATGATCATGGATCTCAGCTTTGCTGAGGACGAGGGAGCAGAGCTCCAAGCTGCCGGGCAGCATACACACATTCGACGATGTTTTGTCTGTGAAGATACTCGTCACCTTCGGAGCGGTTGCCCCCGATGGCTCGAAGGACCTTCGCCTCAACGCCTGCCAGTCTGGTTCGCTGCGGGGAAACGACATCACTGAGTAGGCGCGGAGCGACTTGCTGGGGAAGAACTGCGTTCTGTTGAGCCTCAGGGAGGCATAGGTCTACAAAGCTCAGCCCCGAAGAGCTCCGTGCTCTTAAACACGAAAGTGTGTGCAATCCGGGCTTGCTGGTCGTGGAGGCGACCGTAAAGGGCTTCGAGAAGCAATGGAAGATCCTCATCGATTCCGGGGCGTCGGTCAATTATGTTCGACGCTCCACGATGGACGGAAGTCAGCTGTAAGCTGAGGCGCTGAAAGCGCGGTTGGGTGACATTGTCACTGTTAGCCTAGCGACGGGGACACGTGTCACGGTCCCGAAGGTCTCTGTGGACCTCAGAGTCAAGTTTCTTGACATTGATAGCGTGGAACGCTGTCTAGGCTTAGACTTGGATGCAAGGTATGACCTCGTCCTAGGAATGGCATAGTTGGAACACCATGAGCCATGGATTGATTGGAGGTCAAAGACCTTGGGCGCTACGCGC